TTTTTTCAAGAGCATTATGCTTACAGAAAACATTCTTGTCCTCCCAGCAACAGTTGATGTACCTCAGACAGTCAAGCCCTATGAAAGGTACAGAGGCGTTTCCCAGGACAACTAAGGCTACCCATTTTAGCCAACGGGTTTGAGTTTTATCATCCCATTAGCTAACATACCTGTACATTTATAAACCCAAACTGTTGGTTGATTCCACCTGTCACTGTTAGCAGTAGAGGCTGTTAAAGAAATTATATGGGAAAGGAGGTCATTTTCTTCCAGGATAAAGGCTCACTGAAGCCATCGAGCTTCACATCTGCTGATGCAGCCACAACTGGCACTTGTCCAAGGATCTTAACACTGAGTCAAACCTCACAACTCCTCCAAAGTAGGGAGCTACCCCTCTTTTACCAATTGTGCCTCAATTTCCCTTAGGGGAGACTGCACAAGCCAGAAATAAAACTCGAATCTCATGACTGAGCCCTGTCCTCTAGATCAATCTTCCTGAGCTCCACAGCTACTCCACCAAGGCCTAGCATCAGAGCCAGAAGGGAGACAGCTAGTCATACAACAGAAAACCCGCATGAATCGGGCAAAGTTGTCCAGCACACACCAAGCCAGCTGTTTTCCTCTTCCTACCCTTCCAGAAAGGCTCCTTATAAGATTTCAGCAAGAATGCATCGCACAAGGAAAGGTCAGTCATCTGCATGCACAGAGTCCCAACCAAGGTCAATCAGACATTGAGAGGACAAGGTTCAAAACTGCTTTTAAGCATATGAGCAAATAGTGTTTGTGACAGTCTCCCCTACTTTGCTATCTGCTTAGAATCAGGACTGTATGCAGGGCATACAGCATGCAGGCTTCCCCACTCTTCCTTCCAGTCCAGCTCCTATCTCACCCAACAGTTCTTTCAACGCACCTCAGTTCTGCCTTGCATCACCCTTTGCTATTCCAGACTTGTGCCTCTGAGCAGAAAGCCAAACCACAAAACCTGGTGTGACCAGCTAGGTTCACAACCATGTGCATTAGGGAGCAGGGGGTGAAATGAACAGGATGAGCCCCAAGTTCATCTTTGTGCCCAATTTGAATTTGAAAGTGGACCTGGAAACTAGAGTCTGCATCAGTTCTAATCCCCTGCTCCACCATAAATAGGCAAGCAGCAACTTCTTTGAGGAGCTGAAGGAAAGAACAATACAGAAAATGTAGAATCCTATAGTCAGAAGGGACTGGAATTCAAGACCCCCAGGACCTGCTCCCAGCTCTGACACCACCTCACCATGTGATTTTGCTGAAATCACTGTACTTCAAGTTTCTCCACCATAAATTTGGGACAACCATATTTTCTTGCCACTGAGGAAGGGCTGAGACTAAGGGTATGTCTACACTATGGGATTAATCCGAATTTATATAATTCGAATTTGTAAAACAGATTGTATAAAGTCGAATGTATGCAACCACACTAGCACATTAATTCGGCGGTGTGCATCCATGTACCGGGGCTAGCATCGATTTCTGGAGCGTTGCACTGTGGGTAGCTATCCCATAGTTCCCGCAGTCTCCTCTGCCCATTGGAATTCTGGGTTGAGATCCCAATGCCTGATGGGGCCAAAAACATTGTCGCGGGTGGTTCTGGGTATATCCTCCCCCCTCTCTAGTGTCTCTAAAATGCTTGGAGTGCCTCAGGTGGAAGACACTAGGGAAAGGCTAAGTATTATAACAGCCACATCTAGTCCTGTACCAAGTGATGAATGGGAAGCACAGAAAGGATCCAAGAATCCCCCCCCCCCCCCCCCCCCACACCAGTTGAGCTCAGTGGGGTGCCCAGTGATGCGCCATCCTATCAATAGCCAAAAACTATAAGCAAAGCAAGAGAGGGGGATGGAAGAAGCATTCAAGGCCTCTGTCCTACTATTAAGGCACCCACAGAATTCAAGATATTTAGACATGATCGAGCCTGAATGCTGAATCCTGACACCTCAGGGGACCCACAGACTCCTTCCTGGAGGGGAAGGATGGTCCTGTGGGTAGAGCACAAGCCTGGGATTTTGAAAACCAGGATTCAAGTCCCTGCTCTCCCAAAGACTTAGGAAGCGGAGGCACAGAGAGACTCTGTAAAATAGAGATAACAGCACTGTCCTACCTCACTGGGGCACTGGGGGGGGGGGAAGGAGGAAATGCATTGAAAACTGTAAGGTGCTCAGATATATGGCGATGGGGGCCATATAAATACCTAAGAGACAGAATCCCTTCAAGACTACTCCCCCTCCCCGCCCCCACAAAAAAAATATGACAGCCCCAATTCTATAAGAGAGCTTTGTAAGATAAGTGACAGCAGTCCCTCAGGACAAGAGGCACAGAAGGGGCAGGGTGGGGAGGGGAGAGATGCACTGCTATTTGACAAACATGCTGCCAATGAAAGCAGGAAAATAAATGAGGAGGAGTCCGGTGACACCTTAAAAACTAACAAACAGTCTTTAAGGTGCCACTGGACTCCCCATTGTTTTTGTGGATACAGATTAACAGGGCTACCCCTCTGACACGGCTGCTGTGGGACTATTCCTTTACTGGAGACATTTCAATGTCACTTGTTAGCCTGAGCCAGAGAAAAAGGTTTTTTTTTTTTTAATTATAAATAAAATAGCTGCTACATTACCAGGAGTCTGTTTTTTGGGGTGTTTTCTTGGGGGGTTTTTTTTGGGGGGGGGGAGAATAGATGGGCTCCACCCAGCAGTTTTGACCCTCCCTAGAGGCACAGTCCCTTTCCTGCAAGAACAAAGGAGGAGGCAAATTAGATAACAGGAGAGTCTAGGAAGAGATCTTTTTAGATCTGCCCAGGCCAGTTTTAGTCTAGTCTGCATAGGGTTCCTCACACACACCTAATCCCAATTCCCCAACTCTTTTCCCCCCTTCCACATGCCAAAATCTTAGGGAGGCATCACTAAAAAGATTTACAGTACACAACCTTGGGCCCGGATACACCCCACCCCCCAGGAAAGGCCTGCACACCCAAAAATACTCCCTGCTTCCAACACACATAAGCAACTTCCCTTACTCCAACACAAAGGGAACTATGTGGCAGGGGGAAAAGAGCAGGATACCATTTGCAACGCCAGCCACCCCTTACTCCAACATTAAACGCCTGTCCAAAGAGAGATGCAGTCTCTCTCCTGCTCCATGTGCCAATTGGGAGGTTGGCACAGAAAGGTAGCTTTTTTTGGGGGGGGGGGGGGGGGAGAGGGACAAGAGGTCAAGATTACATGCTTCACTCAAAGCACAGACACCCCAGAACCCAGCCAACGTAACTCCTAGCATGGGAGGAGAAGGATGAGGGGGTTAGACAATGCTGTAAGGCAATAAGCGAGCCCAAGGCCACACGCCAGGCCCTATGTACACTGTGCTACTGATAGGCCACAAAATTGATCATAGGAACAGGGTATTGCAATCAGCTTTGGGAGTGGGAAGTACTACAACCTACAAAGTCGCACCACTCCCAAGCCATTCTGAATCTACAGTGCCTGTGTTCTTTCCCCAGCTGTCAGAGCACTTCCTCTGGGCTCCCTGGCTGCCAAAGGCTACTACAGCCAACACCATGAGTTGTTCACAGCAGCTACCCTTTTACACCAACCTTTTATATCCAGATAGGAGGGGTACTAAATAGAACATGAGCCATCACTGAAACCCACAGACCATTTCCAAACCCTGCTCTAGCCACTCTCTAAATAGAACACCCTCTTTTCTTGCTCTGATGCACCCAAGACCAAAACTGGGGCGGGTGGAGAAGAGAGACAGGTGCTTAGATGCAGGACATGGGTCTTAACAAGTTTCCAGAAACAAGACTGCTTGCTGCTTTTTTCCCCCCCACTCGGAAAATTCCCCCAGGATCTCTGGCCACAAGAGTCTTAAGTCTAACATAAGGCATCACAATCTGTGCACAGCAAAGTGAAGGGAAGAGAAATTATGTTTTTAAAATTATGCTTAGGAGACAAATTAGACCTCTTATAATAATTTTAAACAGTAGCCCTCTCTGCCCCAGTTTGTTGCAATTAGTGCCGTATCGAATTCCAGGCTTTTGTTTTGTTTTGAATGGAGGAGTTAAGTTTAGAGATGACGACTCTCAGGACTAGAAACTAGCCCAACGTCCTGGTTCCCAACGAGCTGGCTACACAAGTACATTCTTAGCAGCGTCTAAAAACCCCAATCCTCACCACACTTCCAAGAGACTTAACATAAGAGCTTAAGGAAAGTTACAGGGAAACAACTTTAAAAAAAAAAGTACAACACAAGTCTGTTAGACTCGGAGTTCCTAAAGTACTGCTTCAAAATAAGTCTGCTTAAAGCCTTTTTTAATGTTGCTTTCTTCCCCAGTAAGTTTTAAAATAAGCAAAGTCTCGGGCGTAGACTATGGACCGGGTTTAGATAGAGGCTTTAAGACCAAGTCATTCCTCACCCACTTCAAATTGTTGATTAGAACTTCAAATCTGTGAAAAAGAGCCCCTTCCCAAATCTTTTTAACCTCCACTCCAAATTAAAGATTTAAAAAGAGGTTCTAACTCAACAGGATGGATTCTTTTTAGAAGACTAAGGAGAAAGGCCCCCACCCAACTGCACCTGGGGGGAAAAAATGGGATCCACCCAAGCAGAAAGTGTGGCTCTGGACATAAAGAATAGACCGCAACACTCCCAACCAGAATACAGCTTAATAAAAATACTTTATCAACTGCAAAACCTCCCTGCAACTCAGTTTCCCCAAAAGCTTTAAAATAAATATCTTAAAGGGCGCAAATAAAACCCAAACCCCACTTTCCAAACCCAATCACATTCCTCCCCCAGCCTGCACAGAAGACACCACACAAAAAACAACAGCTTCCCAACAACTCAGCCCAGGAGGAGTTGTTAGTTTGCAGCACAAAACGAACAAAAATCCAAATTGAACAACAAGAGGAGATGAATTTACCAACCTCCCCCCGCCCCCCAAAACCCACAAACAAAAAAAACCACACGATTCTTACCCTGGCTTTCTCCCTTCTCAGGAGCTGCACTCGCGAGATCTATAAGTTTGTTTCTCCTCCTTGTGGGTTTTTTAAAGTACCGGGGGAAGAAATAAAAGCAAAAATAAATAAAAAAGTTGTCAGTGTGGCTGTTCCTCTGCCCTATAACTTCCCTTCTAATCTCTCAGGGTGACAATGTCAGTCTCCAACAAAATTTCCCTCCGTGAGATCCTTTTTATGGTCTCTTTGCAAACACACACCCAAAACTCTAATGTGGACTTTTCCAACAAATTTCTAAAGGAAATGTAAGAGGCAAAACATTTGGCAAAAGCCTGCCAAAATGTGTTGGTTTAAAAAAAAAACAAAAAAAAACCAGCCAATGTAGTGATTTTTTTCCCTCTCCACCTCTTTCTCCTCTGGGATCTGCTGCTGCTTCTTCCTTTCTGGCTTTTTTGCCCCTCGCCTCCTCTTTCAGATCCAACACCTAAAATGGAAGTTGCACCCGACCCAGCCAAAGACAAGCTGGCGGGGATGATGGTAACAAACTCAGCTTTCCAACCAAGCCCAACGCCCAACCCCTCTTTCCCTAAGTGATGTCAGCTTCTGTGAAGCTCCAATGGGAAGCAGACATCAATGAGGGACCCGGCACTATCCAATAGAAAACTTTATTGTAGAAAATAAAAAAAAAATAAAAAAAGGAAAAAAGAAAAAAGGGGAAAAAAACAACAAAAGGAAGCGGGCAGAAATTAACTTGTTGGTGGGGTGGGGGGACAAAATATATTACAAAAATCAATTGCAAGAAAGAAGTTTAAAACAAGCTTGGCAGGCTGATAAATGTATTGATGTGATCTGCAATTCACAGTCCAATTTCTTTTGATCTGTATGTTTCTTTCTCCCACTCACCTCCTCTGCCTGTTTGCAAATGAGAATAAATATCTTCATTTTTATTTGTCTCCTGTGATTTTTATTGATATGTTTTCCATCTTTGCAAGTATCGTGAAATGGAGGAAGGACAATGGTACAAAAGATGTGTGGGGAAATATTTGGATCTGGGGAGAATTTCGGATTTGAAAATCAACCTTGATTCTGCTGTTTTTGTTTTAATGATATGAGCCCAGATTGCGGAGTTGCAATCAGCTCTTGTCTTATTTCAGTCAATGACTTTTGCTGGCAATTAAGCAAGTGAATTTAAAAGTCTAGAGTGGATAAGGAATTTACTTCCCTCCTTTTCTTCTCAAATCACTGAAGACAATAGCTCTTTTGCCTTGTATTACTAATTTAATCCAATTCACAGTTTGTAAATTCCAAACCACCAATCAAGAGAGAGAGACAAAAGCTTCAACAAGTTTTCTTTCATCACGGTCCTAAAGGATGTTTACTCTGATTATGTTTGCAAAAGAGTGATAACCTGGGAGGTATCTAGTGCTATTTGCTGCATCAGGTTAAGTGGGGGAGTTGCTGGGAGGGTGGTATTATCTGGATATTTCTATAAAAATAAGTTTTAAACAGAGTTTTTTTCTTTATTAGGCACTCAGTTTTCATTTGAGCAGGTACAAAGCTGGGGTGTGATGCTGGTCTCACTGAAATCAATGACAAAACTCTTATTGACTTCCGCTGGAGCAGCATCGGGCCTTGATATGCATGTTGTTGTTGATTCAAAATGTATGCCTGATGTGGAGGTGTTTGATACTCCAAAAGTTCCACATGCTAGAGCGCACATTGGCCCAGACCCTCACAGGTATTTAGGTGCCTAACTTCCATTGATTTCAATGAAAGTTAGGTGCCTAAATACTTTTGAGAAAGATCAGGCCATATATCTGAATCAGTGGGCAGATTGTACACATTTGTCATTTTAGAGCAAATTCTTTCATCCTGTTTTTTAAACCAAGGGCGTTCTCCACGTTCCCTTCTGAACCCTGTGGCACTGCTTTCTGCCAGAAATCCCCCATCAGTGCCAACTGGGATTCCAGAAGCAAGAGCTTCCTTGCAGTAGTGCCATATCAACACCCAGGGACCTGATACGCCTCTTGTTTTACCTCATCTTCACTGCAGTAGTGGTATAAAATTGGTATTAGTCAGAGGAGACTCAGGCCCCAGCAATATGAGCTTCCTCATAGCAGCGCCCTGTCCGTACCAGCTACTGCTCCTGCAGTGTGATCTTTTTCCTGTTAGTCTGGCTAAGGAACACCAATCTCATGGGTTGTCTTTACACAGAGGATTTCCTGAAATTCTCCTACCAAGCCTAGCAACAGTGGGTGCAGAACAATGAATGGAAATGGAGAAAGAGGGTCAGGTTTCAGGAGTAACTTAGTTTGGTGTAAACAGAACGAGGAGTCCTTGTGGCACCTTAAAAACTAACAAATTTATTTGGTGTGACACAGGGGCTCAGGCATGCAAGCTGGGCCAATCTGCTGCCAGACAAACATAGGCCTGTTAGCACCTAACCCTGGCCACTGTGCATGCTCAATAAAGATCTCTTTCCTACAGCTCTGGCTGCCTGCTGCAACATATATCAGTGATTCTCAACCAGGAGTCCGAAGGGGCCGCAAGCAGGTTTCAGGGGGGCGCCAAGCGGGGCCAGCATTAGATTTTCTGGGGCCCAGGGCAGAAAGATGAAGCCCCACCGCATGGAGCTGAAGCCCAGGGCCCAGAGCCCTGCCACTCAGGGCTGAAGCTAAAGCCTGAGCAACTTAGCTTTGTGGGTTCCCCAGTGGCATGGGGCCCGGGCAGTTGCCCTGCTTGCTACCCCCTAATGCCAGCCTTGGGTTTTATATGCAGAAAAACAGTTGTTGTGGCAGAGATGGGCCATGGAGTTTTTATAGTATGTTGGGGGGGCATCAGCGAGAAAAAGGTTGAGAACCCCTGACATATATTGCTTATGAAACATCAAAGCACCTGTGTAGACTGGCCATCTGCTACATTTTCATCACTGTTCTGTCTAATGTTGCTCAGAGCAGGTCTAGAAGACACAGTGGTAAAATCACTGGTGGTTGGCCTACACTGGCACGCCCACCCTACCTAGCAGAGGTCACCAGTACTAGGCACAATGGTGGAAGGATTTCAGAAAATCCCCACTGTGGCAAGGCCATGTACATTGAAGGACTGGAAGCAAAGGAAATGATAAACAACTGAGTATCAATTTGTGGGGAGGCATCTAATGGGATGCTGCAGGAATCTCTGTTATGCCCTGTATGAATTATATCTTTCATGCAGATCTGGAAGGGGTCAGATGTAAACAGTATGCCAATTAAATCAACAGATGACCACAAAGGGGTCTGATCCTGCTCCCATTGACTTCAAGGGAAGTAGGACTAGGCACTAAATGGAGAGTGTTTTCAACAGCATTGAGTGTAGAGAAATACTACAAAGGGATCTAGAGAGACAAGAGACACTGGCAGGAAAAAACAACAGGTTGGTTTGGAAAACTACAGCTAATCCATCTGAAGACACCTATTTCCAAAAAGACGGTTACTCACCTTCTTGTAACTGTTGTTCTTCGAGATGTGTTGTTCACCTCCATTCCGATCAGGTGTGTGAGTGCCGCATGCACGGTCGTCGGAAACTTTTTCCCTCAGCAGCCCCCGTTGGTTCAGCTACGGAGCCCCCTGTAGTGGCGCCCTCATGGTGCTCAATATATAACCCAGCCGACCCAACCGTCCTTCAGTTCCTTCTTGCCGGCTACTCCAAAAGAGGGGAAGCAGGGTGGGTATTGGAATGGATGTGAACAACACATCTCGAAGAACAACAGTTACAAGAAGGTGAGTAACTGTCTTTCCTTCTTTGAGTGCTTGTTCACGTCAATTCCAATCAGGTGATTCCCAAGCTCTCCCACCGGGGTGGGGTTGGAGTTTAAGGAATCACTGATTGGAGAACCGCTCTGCTGAAAGCTGCGTCCTCTCTAGCATGCTGAGTGATGGCATAGTGGGTGGTAAAGGTGTGCACCGAGGACCCGGTTGCCACTCTGCAGATCTCCTGGATGGGCACCTGGGCCAGGAAAGCAGAGGACGTGTCGAGTGAGCTGTAATAGCCGGGTCTGGGACCTTGGCGAGGTCATAACAGGTACGGATGCTGTCCATGATCCAGGAAGAAATGCGTTGTGAGGAGACCGGAATCCCCTTCATCCACCGCTACAAACAATTGGTTCAACTTCCTGAAAGGCTTCGTGCGCTCAGTGTAGAATGCTAGCACTCTCCGGACATCTAGTGAGTGAAGCCTCTGCTTCTGGGCATTAGCATGTAGCTTGGGATAGAAAACTGGTATAAAAATGTCTTGGCCAATGTGGAATTGGGATACCACCTTGGGCAGGAAGACCGGGTGCGACTTGAGCTGTACTTTGTCCTTGTGGAAGACTGCGTGTGTGTGTGTGGGGGGGTGTCGGAGGTTAACGCTTTTAACTCTGACACCCTCTTGGCCAATGTGATGGCAACCAGAAATGCCACCTTCCAAGAGAGGAGGGAGCATGTAGCCAGTGGCTTGAATGGGGCCCCCATTAGCCTAGCTAGGACCAGATTGAGGTCCCAAGCAGGTACCGGTGGTCGAGACTGGGATATAGTCATTCCATGCCTTTAAGGAAACGGCCCACCATAGGGTTGGCGAATACCGAGCACCCTAACTCTCCTGGGTGGAACGCTGAGATGGCTGCGAGTTGTACTTTGATGGATGATCTGGCCATACCTTGCTGCTTCAGATGCAGTAGACATTCCAGGATGAATGGTATAGATGCCTGAAGTAGAGGTACGCGACTGCGCTCACACCAGCATGAGAACCTTTCCCACTTAGCTAGGTAAGTGGCCCTGGTGGAAGGTTTCCTGCTGCCAAGCAGCACCTCCCTCAACGATTCCATGCATTGGAGCTCCATTGGGTTTAACCATGAAGCTTCCAAGCCACGAGATGGAGGGACTGGAGGTCCGGGTGAAGGAGGCAGCTGTGGTCCTGTGTGATCAGATTGGGGAGGAGCAGCAGCGCGATCGGGGTGTCCACTGACAGCTCCAGAAGCATGGTGTACCAATGTTGGCGTGGCCATGCAGGGGCCAGCAAAATTACCTCTGCCGTGTCTCTGTGGATCTTGAGCAGTACCTTGTGGACAAGTGGTATCGGTGGGAAGGCATACAGTAGATGGTCCCCCCAAGGTAGCATGAATGCGTCTGAGATAGAGCCCGACTGTGCTTTTAGAAAGAGAAAAACATTGGACACTTCCTGTTGCTCCTGGTGGTGAATATATCTACCTGGGGAAACCCCACCTTTGGAAGATGGAATGTATGACATCTGGCTGGATGGACCATTCATGGTTGTGGAACGACCTGCTGAGGTGGTCCGCAAGCTCGTTCCTTACTTCCAGGAGATAGGACACCTCCAAGTGAATGGAGTGGGCTATACAAAAATCCCACAGCTGGACAGCCTCCCAACAGAGAGGGGAGGAGTGGGCTCCGCCCTGCTTGTTTATGTAAAACATAGTGGTGTCGGCCAGCACCACCACGCACTGACCCTGTAATCTGGTATGGAAGGTCTGGCAGGCTAGTCTCACTGCTCTGAGCTCCTTTATAT